TCCTAACTAGAATACACCAAAACCACCAACAACAACAATAATAGTCATCATCATCTTCCTAACTAGAATGCACCAAAACCACTACCAACAACAATGATAGTCATCATCATCTTCCTAACTAGAATACACCAAAACCACTACCAACAACKAGAATGATTATTATAATTATATCAAATCAAACACGCACTCGTGTCGAAAAATGTGACGTTTCACCGCATAGCAAGCATTACAACTTGAACAAACAAATTCATAAAGGTTTCCTTGCAATAAGTATCTTTTTACTTCCATGATTTCACTTGTGTTTTTGATGGAACCCTATTTTAAACAACGTCTAAAAACAGATATCAAGACCATGAGTAAGGATTTCTTCAATTACTTGTCGGTCTGGAACCTCTGGCCTCTGGCCATGGTCTATCGAATTTTTTTGGATTGAAAAATTTAATTAATCAGGTGTAGCTCGAATAGCCTAGTAAGAAGAGAGGGTCTCATGCACATATTTCTTTTATTTTATGTTTTGTTCATTCAATTAATCAGGCGTAGCTCGAATAGTCTAGTAAGAAGAGAGGGTCCCATGCACATATTTCTTTTATTTTATTGTTAAATATACCCATATTGAACAACAATATATACAGAACCAATTATATAGAATTTTTTACAAACACATAAACTAGTATAACTGTAAGGTGTTATTAAAACTATTTGAAAAGAAATTACAGATTAACATGCAATGAGATATAAATTATTCATAAGAAATCATCTACCCGGATGATCATAATACTTCGATTAACATTCATTCACCTGGGTTCAGACCGTTCTATACAATTTCGAAATCAATGTCAGAAAATGTCATCTTCTTCACATGGAATCGATTGAAAGTGTTAATTTTGCACTTTGAGCACATTTAAAGGGATTTTTTGGTCATGTTTTGTCCATGTAAAATCAATTGCATTTTTAGATTGGGTTTCCTGTGGTATTAACGGGAAGTTTAGGCGGGAAATTCAAATAATATAAAACTGAATCCAATTCAAAAAACATCATTTCGAAGCCTTTTTTCAAGCCTTGCGTCAATTTTTTGTTTACAAATTGCTCTACTACGATATGAAAAAATCTTCTTTGGTAAACAACGCCATCTTTGTTTTTAGGAAAAATTTGCTTTGGCACAGCGCACCCGCGCGCGGATAAACGAAGAGCGCACGCATGCGCAGACAAAATTCCCAGCTGCTTGGTATGTTCTCTTATCAAACATTGAATGGCGTCAGCATATGATTCAAACTCTAGTAAAATCACGAGCGCAGCGACGTTTGATATGTTTGATAAGAGTACAGACCGTAGAACAGGAACCTCGATTTGCTAATTTTTCACCAATGAGAGCGCGTGTTATATCTAAATATTTTGCAATATAGAACTATAACACTAATGATGATGGCGATAAGGAGGACTACATCCGGCTTTACATTTGGCAATATGGGAGAAAAAAGAGAGAAAGAGAAGGAAAAGAAATAGCGGGCTAAACCGGAGTTAGTAGCCCTGCACTTTACTCACCCCTTTATAGAGTGTCTGCTGTAGATCATAGTACACGTATCCTGTCTCATCTACAAAGTCTGCTGCCTTGGAAGTCTTGTCCTCATCCAGCAACTCACACCTGACATCTTTCATCTGGAACGCCTTACAACGACAATCATTGATACATGACGAGAAGCACGTGTGTGGAACATCAGTGGTAATGTTCTTGTAGGAGTATCCTCTGAGATGTTTTCCCTTGATGACTTGGTTGTTCTTTGGGAAAGATCCCGAATAGCAGGTGCCTTGACATTGGAATTCACTGGTCACGTGGGTGACGCATGATAACARCGTGATGATCACGTGAGCAAACATGTCGTGGTCTGTTCTACAAAACATTTAGAAGTTTCTTGTTATTTTCTTGGATTATTCATTCAAAATTTAACATCAAGTTAACTCCATTGGAGTGACCCTTCAAGTCACGTGTCCGATAAAATACTTTTCATTAGTAAGGGTAGCCTCCTTTGCAGACGTTCTTAGGGTCGTCACGCAACGTTGCGTGACGACCCTAAGAACGGCTGCAAAGAAGGCTAGGTTGAGGGTTGAGTGCACCTAGATCTATCAGGTATTTAGTTTAGTGTGTAAGTCCATTTACTTTCCGTCAATCCTTGTAATTTTTACGGCTGTGGTTTTCAATGTTTAGCGAAAAGTTACGACGTGACACGACGGTTGGATTCTTGTTTAATTATGCCAAAAATTGCCCATTCAAGCGCGACAATTGCTTTTTGGTCGTCTCCTATAATTCAAATTTATAATATAGCCCAATTCAAACAAATTTCATCAACCATACTCAATCGTTTCTTATTTTTTACCATGGTTAATTAGATTATTTTAGTGGTTGCTTGTGGAAACATCAAAGTTATGTAGTTATGTAAATCAATAAGCCAACAAGGGTTTTCCCTCTGATATCTAGAAGAATAACTCTACAAAAACCTTCAAGTAAACCTAAACGAATCGTGTCTAAATGCTAGTAGTAGCTAGTAGTCCCCAGAAAAGCAGGTTTTTCCTATCGACTATGCTTTCAGCGTCGGTATTGCATTTCTCGTCATTTACCAGAACCTCCGAGAAGCTAACAAGGGGAGAAGGGGTTAGCACGTGCCACCTAGATCTGGTGGCCCACATCTCCTGGTCCCACACGCGTCTGTTGGGCCCTTGACCATATCTCCGGAACGAAGCATGCTATGGCAACGAAACTTGATAGTAAAGGTGAGACTTGTGTTGTCATACATCAGACCAAGTGACATGGCGTGACGTCACATATCACGTGACTTATGAACCAAACATTATCGCCGATTATCGCCAAAAGCATTACGATAAATGCTATGGTAACAAAATTTGGTACATTGGGTGAACCTCATGATGTAAGTCATAACTGGAGAAGAACGTCTATAAAGCAATTAAATTTTGCTGGTATTTGGAACAATGTGCGAAACACCAAGACTTCAAATTATTCCAAAATGTGACCCCGCCACACTATGCTTTATAAATTTCCTACGTGTTTGCCCCCTCGCCATCCCATGATTCAAGGTGACCGCCGTATCAGTTCAACATTCGTAACGAAATTTGAAACGTCACCTCTAATAACGGCGGACGGGATATCTTATAAAATTAAGAGTCAGACATTCTATAAGCACCCTTCTTAATTAATTATTAACCAGCTCGATTTTCAAAACCTCCAAAGCAATAACAAACATCACAACACAATATGTTTATTCTCGGAAACAGTCTAGGAAAATTAAGTATCCAATTTATCCTGGAGTAATAAAATTTGTTTCTGTCGGAAGTAAGTTACAAGTTTTGAGTTTTAACCGTTTTCCTCAAAATTCACTGAATATATTTAGTTATATTTAGTTATATTTAGTCTAATACGACAGACTAAGCGATTCTTTGTCGTTTTTGCACCATAGCTATAATTTCTCTAGCCATCCCGCTTCTGATTCAATAGTCAGGGACGAGGAATAACACCTTTTTAGTTTGTCAAAACTTGCTCATGTCGACTAGACACTTCAATGAAAATATTCGTTTTTTCTTTAATTTTGTCCTTTAAAAAACAAAGTAGTGTCATAGAACATGAAAGTAGTATTCATTTGAAAAGACATGGATTAAAAATTACGAATCGGTTTTGGTTTCTATCTATACTGACGCTACAGACTGAACTTGAACCAGTTTCAAACTGCGATGTAATAATTGTTCAATAAAGTGGTTTTTATTCTCCTGTCAAAGGACCTACGTAACGTCATATACCTGTACATGTCAACAAATCCTGACTTGAAACACGCATCTAAAAGTTGCATGTTTTTGAGATATTAAACAGCCCTGCTTTCTCAGTCAGCTCAGTGTCAACAATATGACATAATATTATGTCTGTGACTGTTTAAATTTTATTTCAGGATCGATATCAGTGTGTTAATTCTATTTAGCTCCTTTTTGTTCACCTTTGAAACATTCATAATTATTTCAAGTTTAGGATTTTTAGGATAAATTGAGTGAAACTTTCGTGAGCATATTGTTTTCGAGAAATAAAGTCCTTAATATGTATAGAATCTGAGAATCTATATATAGGCTTACAGTGCGACTACATCAACCAAGGCTACCCAAACAAATTTTAAACCAAATTCACAAATCGCATTTTCAACTCTGCATAACACATTAATTAGTGAATTCTGGGTTTTAAACTGTTTCTTATTCACTCCTGATCATACACACACTCGAAGAGGAAAATGTGAACATATGTTTAGATTCGTGAATGGCTAATTTGTATGAAAATTTGWCTGGGTGGCCTTGGTTGATGTAGTCGCACGGTAAAGATGAACATAATAAAAAGAGGAAATAAAACGACCTATTCTTAGGGAATTAGTTTACCTCCCTCGATCGCCAAAAACTACTGGTGAGTTAAAAAGTGTATCAGAAAACCAAAAAAAGACATATTTCTTCAATTAAAATTAAAGATTTCTGAATGACTATGATTATAACTCTTTGTTATCATTGATGTATTTTCTGTATTATTTGTGTGTGAATTTGTGTGGTTATTCTCTTATTTTTCAGTTCCTGATTTAAAGAGCTGCTTACTCGTCCAGCTGTTCCAGCTACTTTAGTTGTACTAAAGTGTTTTCTGCTCAATTATTAATAACCGTAAATCGTTCAAATTCAATAAAATATAGCATGGAATACACGACGCTTTTTCTAAAAGCTTAAGTATTATAGCTAAGAACATAAATAGTCTGCATCGTGATATATATTGGCTAGAATATTAAGATTCAAACTGGTTTTTGGGTTTAAAAAATATCGTTATGTAATTTACTTGCAACGAGAGCTTTTTTCTAATTAATCATTTTAACTAATTAATCATTCTGTTTCTTATTTCCCATACTATCAGTCCTGGTAAGCGATGTATCAGATCTAATACGTCAAAAACTCACATTTCTAAATGTTTTTAAACATTAAAAGTGCTTTCTAAACCTAAATAAAACGTGATAGTAAATTGTTTGTACGTCAGTCTGTTTTTGATATCAACTAGTGGTATTAATGCAGTAATTGTACTTTAAACATTTTAAAAAGTGTATTGGTGGTCTTTTAAAACAAAGTATATTAAAGTGAAAAAAAGATTGAGAAAACTTTTACTTGTACCTTTAATTTATTGTTGAACGCCCAACACAGACGAAATGTTCCCAGAAAACAAGATAAAACAGAACGGAGCCAAGACCGGTGGGYTATTGTTCTAAAGGACCTTGCTGAAGCAAGTTCATTGGCCAGAATTGAGAAATAAAATGGATCTACTGATTTGATTGGTTTTCTATATTTGGACCTTTTTTAGTATAGTCCGCATTGAATYGGACTTGCAAAAGCTTGAATACCCTTCACTTTTTTGTCGACTAATTTTTTTATGTTTCCAAATGTCCTGTAAGTGTCCCGTAAGTGTCTTTTAACATGTTAGTTATCAATAAGAAAATTATTCAGGATTTGCGCTTTCACTCAGCAGCAGTAAGGGGGACTCGCGAATCGCCGGCATTGCCAAAAATCACAAATCGAAAAACACCAGGGGGGGGTGGGGTTTTTGGAGCAGTGACGAGGCCCTACAGGGGGTCTTGCGCGATCGGGTGGCAGCGCGAAAAGTCCCTTACTGCTGCTCTGTTGGGTACTGC